AATGAAAAGAAAAATAGAAATCAATCGAACTCGTTACATCGGTCCACCGATTTAAATTAATTTCTATCACCTTTTTTCTTTATTCTTTTTTTTTTTTTTTCTTTTTTCTAATCCTTTCCATTTCTTTTCCATTTTCTTTTCTAAAATTAAAATCAATTAAAATGACATTCCGTTAGAGTGACGTACGCGTATTCAAATTGTCAATGTGTTTTTAATTCGTATTAATTCGACCAATACTATTGAAAATGGTCTCTCTCGAAGAAAAACTTTTAAAGATCTTACACGTAGTATAATTAATCATCTAAGCTTTAGTTTACGCGCTTGAGTTTTCTTGCCTAGTTTTGAGAGAAGTGAATTTTATTCTTTTTCTTTTCTTTTTTTTCTTTTCTTTTCTTTTTTTTTATTCCTTCTGTTTCTTCTCTCTTTCTCTCTCACTCTCTTTTTCACTTCCTCCAGTAACTTCTTCTTCTTCTTCTTCTTCTTTCTTCTTCTTTCTTCTTTCTCTTTTTTCTTTTTTCATTTTTTTCTTCTTCTTCTACTTCTTCTTCTTCTTTTACTTTAGCTCTCCTCTCACAATCTGTCCTCCACCCACTTCCCTCCCCTCCCGACCTCCAACCCAACCCATCTCCCAATCTCTAACCTTTGTTAAGACAAGAAAAGATACGAAAGTAAAAATGAGACGCGTAGTTTTTCACGAAAACTAGCGACGTCGGTAAAGGATAGTAAAATTAATTTTGCAAACGCATCCAGGGAGTACTTATCTTCGTTTCATACACACACACACACACACATACACACATATACACATATACGCGCGAGCACGCGTACTCATATACACAGATACAAAGGAAACTCTGGAAAGAGTGGCGAACGTTGTTACGCGAGACGCGAACGTAAACAGCCAAAGTACTTTATCGTGTTCTCTATTTTATTGCAACGAAAGGTGATCGAATTTCTTGTTTTCTCTTTCTCTCTCTCTCTCTCCCTCTTTTTCTCTTTTAAAGAAATAGAAGAAGAAGAAGAAGAAGAAGAAGAAGAGAAAGAAGAAGAACTTTCAAAACGTAAAACGTCAAATGTGTAGAAACAATCAAAATTGTATTTTATTCCTGTGAGAATTTCCAAAACGATTTATGATTCTCTTAGAAAAAAAAAAAAAAAAAAGAAAAAAAAAAATAAGAAAGAAGGGGAAAAAACAAAAAGAAAAAGCAAGAAGGAAGGAAACAAAGATAAAAAAAAAAAAGAAGAAGAAAGAAAAAAAAAAGAAGGAAGCGAAACACTCACATACATGCGTCGAAATATTAGATGGACCATCGTGTAGAAAGGAAGTTTCTCCACTGAATGAAATCGTATTTTCGGGATGAATGAAAAACTTTACGAGCATGGTCCTTACTTCTCTTTTATTTTTATGAGCCCATTTTATTGGGTATCCCCGACGTTTATTAGAGTACGTCCTTGAAAATACGGAAAAATTCAACGAATATATCCCCTTTGATCCTTTCAATGTCGATGATCAATATCTAATAATATTATTCGATATTAATTATATTGAACAATTTGTAATCTTTGTTATATTTGAAGTTAACAATTAAAATCGCTTCCAAATCGAAATCGTACAAATCTAAATTATCAATCACCGTGAATTTTTTTTTGTATTTTTTTTCTAAAGTTCCTCTTCATTATATTAAACCTTTCTCTCTCTCTCTCTCTCTCTCTCTCTCTCTCTCTCTTCTCTATCTATCTAGCAATCTATCTATCTATCTTTTTTCTATGAATTCAAATCTATCAAAAGAAAATTTTTCACTTGGTGCGGTTGGAGCGTTGAAAAAAATACTGATAATGGTATCCACGTTGATCGGCGTTTTTATATTTTGCCGATTGACAGGCGGCAGCTTCAAAGTGACTGAATAATAAATTCATAAATCAAATTATTCCCGGTGAATATTATGACGGACGTATTTATTCAGTTGTCACAGTCGCGCATGCACTTTCATGGTGGCCACGAGATACACCGTTGACATTTAATCCATTCGAAAGAAAAAAAAAAAAAAAAAAAAAAAAAGGAAAAAAGAAAGAAAAAATACAGAGATAGATAGACAGAGAGAGAGAGAAAAGTATCGAAAGAGTTACATCTCCTCTTAAAATCAAACTCGCTGGATCGAATGATGATGCACAATAACAATGCGTCGACGTCTCTAAAACGAAATTTACACGCGACACGCATTATAATCTGATCTATCTATATATAATACATACATAGATAAACGTAAATGATATTCTTCGATAATGAGAGATTAATTATTTTATATTGCATTCGGTTAAATTCGATTTATATCGAGCTACTCGAATAATTTATTACGAGTCAACATACGATATTTAAGAGAATTCGTGAAGTGCAACGAAAATCAAAACACGGGTTGGATAACATTGAAATAAATAAATCTAAATAAATAAATATAGAAAATAAATGAATGAATGAGTGAATGAATGAATAAATGAATGAATAAATGAATGAATAAATTAATGAACAAATAAATAAATAAATTTATTAATTTATTATTGCATACTGTGATATAACATGGCAGATAAATTCTTTATAAATCTATTGATGATCTCTATCTAGTTATTATCACTAGGGATCATTTTGAAAAATTATACGATCATTCGAAGCTCATTTTAGTAGGCTCAAAGCCTAACACTTTCCTTGCAGTTTGCATCACCGACAACATCCTAACTCTCTAAATCGTTCCTTAACTTCTCGCCTAATGTAATCAGTGTTGAGGTAATTAAGGTCATCAAACTCGAGAAGCGCTTTCCTTGGGCGAGGTGGAAGGCCGTCGTCGGGACCACGTGTTGCGGCCACGAGGATTTCCTTCTCTCTCTCTCTCTCTCTCGCACACACACCCTCAAACCCCTTCTTCAAACCTCCCCTCGTTTCAATATTTTTTTCTTTCTTTTCTTTTTTGCCTTTCTTCTTTTTATTTTTTATTATTTTTTTTTAATTTTTTCATATCGCACGAACTTTCCCATTTAATTTCTTCATTGTCGTTAGTTCCTTTCAAATGCAATCAACAGTACATTTAAAACTTAAAGATATTTACTTTCATCTATTTAATAATACATTAGATCGATCTAATTTCTTTTCTTTCAAATATCTATTTTTGCTATAATTTTATACAAACGAATGATCATGATTGATATTAGTTTATAATAAAAAAAAAAAAAAAAAAAAAAAAAAAAAAGAAAAGAAATCTAAATAGGTACGACGATGAGTATTAAATAAATTCGATCAATTTCTTTAGAGATTTTCTACGTGTTAATAGTTGTTATATCGATTTGTTTTAAGTATACATAAGAGAATGAAAAGAAATTGATCGAGTTTGACGTATATTTGAAAAGTTTAGAAATTCGATGAATTTCTTTTTAATAATTTTCTAGTTAAAAATTAAGATTTGTATTTTTTTTTTAGTTAAAAATGAGGATTTGTAAAGAGATCGATCGATTGGAAAAGTTATTATCATGCCTCGTTTGAACGATTCAAAAATAAATGAAATAGATCGAAGTCGAATATTCATTAAATGTAAATTTGAACGGGAATTGATCTTTGTTGTTGATGGAATTTAAATTCCAATTGTTTTTAATAATTAATAATAAAAATATTTATAGTGGATCGAACGTGTATTACTCTTTGTCCGACGGCTGCCGATAGAAAACCGAAGGAACTAACGTATATATGATTTTTCATTCTTTCGAATTTTATTCACTTTTTCGTATTTTATACGTAAAAGGAAATATCAGAGATTATCTGATACAATTCGGCAAGAATAAGTATAAATTCTGAGTGGGACATTACCGATAATCGATAGTACCTATACACCTGAAGTCGAATCGCTTTGTCGTTTAGGTATTTATGCATCCTCGCAAAGTCAGAGATTCTCGTTCATGACGTTAGTGATATCGATCCTAAATAAGAAAAATTTAAAAGCTTTCTGAACTTTCCACTCACACACATACACACACACAGAGAGAGAGAGAGAGAGAGAGACACACACATACACGTACACACATTTATATATATATATATATATATATATATATATTCGATATAAAAAAACTCGTTTATATTCAATTAACAGATACATACGAACGAGAAGTTCAATAATGTTTAAAGGAAAAAGGATAAAATTATTAATTAATTATTAATCGATTCTTCCACGTGGTTTCTTTTTTCATTAATTACATCGAACGAGTACGATCAACGTTAATCAACACCATTAAATCAATAAATAATCTAATCACAAACTTATAGATCACATAAACAATTCAACTTTCTTCCATTATATTTCATTAAAATTTCGATGAATTATATTATGTTCTAAATTTTAGAATTTTAAATACACGAATCATTTTCACAACTAACACATATTCAATCTCGTGATTGAACAAGGATTGACCTTTCACAGGCACATTTATCTCCACATATAATCCAAATATATCTCACATCATCATGGCGAGTCATGGTTGATTTCGTAGTTACACTCGTTAAAGAAATTTCACGACGAACGACATTTTATTATCATATTTGTCTTACGAAAGGAAGAGAACATGTTTCTTTTTTTTTCTTTTTTCCTCTTCCCTTAATAATTTATCTCATATTAGTCACGAACGAGCTTAAATTTGAAAAAAAATTCTTTTCGACAACTCCTAAATAATGATAATAATATTAATAATAATAATAATATCTTAAAATAATAAAAAGGAAAGAAAAAAAAAAAAAGAGAAAGAGAGACGGTATAAATGATCCCCTTTACTCGATCGACCTGTATTTTTGTTGTCATACAAACAAACAAACAAAAAATAAAAAAATAAAAAAATAAGAAACACAAATAAAAAAGAAACGAAACGAGCTAATAGTTAACAACTTACACAAATGATAATTCGTATTCGACAATGCCGATATTAATTATCCATGATTTAACGAGAATTTATGATGAACTGGTTTGATTCTTACTTACCGGGAATACCGTGTACGGAACCGCCGGGTGAGATATTGTTTAGCATGCCGCACCCGGGGAGCGTGGCTCCAACACAGTACGCGGAACCAGAAATCCACGCGTCTATCGCGTGCACCGTGCCCTTCCTCGAGGGACTTTTATTACCGAAAAACAATTCGTCGATTTTCGTCGTCGATATAAATAAATCTTTTATATCGCGTTTCGTCGTTGTTAAAGCCCTCGTCCCTGTTGTTTTCGTGGTCGTCGTAGTTGTCGTTGTTATCGTATTCGTAGCCGTCGTCCTTGTCGTCGTCCTTGTCGTCGTAGTCGTCGTAGTCGTCGTAGTCTTATTCCAAATAATACGTTTAGGGCTCGGCCGAGGAGGAACGGCCCGTGCCTCAGCAAGGCAAACAGCGGACTGCCTGGCTGCCATATCCAAACTCCCCCACCCTCTCTTCGATCGTAGCTAGCAACTCGTCCGTCCTCCTCGCTCATCCATACCAACCCAAACCTCCCCACCCCCTCCCCCATACCATACCCCTTCTTCCCCGTTCCCCACTCTTTCTTTGCTTTGGGGGCGTGATATTAAATCGTCCCTATCCTTCGACACTCAGGACCGTATCTAGAAACTTCTTCGACGTTACCCCTTAACCCATCTCACCTTTTATCTTAACGCTTATACTCCTTTTCGTACTTCATTACGACAGAATGTTATCTATATCGATGAGTATATAGAAATCGATTCTAGTATATATAGAAAACAAATTCATCTTCGCAGAACAAATTCATCTTCGCGTTTAGATATTCTAGGGGTTTCTTTCGTAAAAAAAAAAAGAAAAAAAGAAAAAACAAAACAAAACAAAAAAAGAAAGAAGAAATAAAGAAAAAAAAAGACAAAAGTACCGATCGAATAATTTACCCCCCATTGATCTATTCGTCCTAATTTGACGATTATTATCTATGAATATCGATTTGCATATTAAAAAGTAAAAGAGAGAGAGGGAGGGAGAGAGAGAAAAAAAAAAATATATATATATATATCAATAAGAAATTTAAAGTAGAATATATTTATCGGAAGCTGGTATTATTGAAGTGCAAGAAGAAAGAAGCAGGAAGAAGACGAAGAAGAAATAATAATAAAAAGTAAAAAAGAAAGTAAAAGAAGAGAAATAAAAAGGAGAAGATGTACAGAGAAAGAGAGAGAGAGAGAGAGAGAGGGAGAGAGAGAGAGAGAGGAAAAAAATAGAAGAAGAAGAAGAAGAAGAAGAAGAAGAAGAGGAAGAAAGGTAGGGGAGGGAAAAAGAGAACCAAAGAAAAATACAGAAAAGTTCAAAAAGATAGGTAGTTGGGTTAGGTAGATAGGTAGGTAGGTAGGTTAGGTAGGTTGGTAGATAGGTAGATAGGTAGGTAGGTAGGTAGGTAGGTAGATAGGTAGTCCGAGAAAATATCGGGACACGTCGGGTCGGTTGGCAGTGAGTTTTCGTGGTGTCGCGGGGCTACGTTGGTTGGCAGGCGGTCGCGCAGGTCCGTCCATATCCAGGGGGTAAACTCTATTCAGGTTACAGTTCTCCTACTTGGTATCTTTGTTTTGCGGTAGGCGGCAACCGCCAGGGACGGTAGCTCCAATGAGCGAGTAGCCCGCCCTCTGAATGCCCCACTAGCTTTCGCTACCCGGAGATTTATTGAAATTTTATTTTTATGGCCGGCGAGCACGGCGAACCGTGTGCGGACGGTAAAGGTGGGAGGATGAGGAGATGATGCCAGTGGATAAGGGGTAACGAGGGGTTCGGAGAGGTTGAATAGACGACGAAGGAGAGAGGAGAGAGAAATTCCTTCTTCTCGCTCGTTCCTCCTCCTCCTCCTCCTCCTCCTCATCCTCCTCGTCCTCCTCCTCTTCCACCTCTTTAACCTCCTCTTTCTCTTCTCCTCTCTTCTCTCTTCGTCCTTCCCTCTCCCTTTCTATCTCTCTCTTTCTCTCTCTCTCATACTCTCTCGTGCTATCATCGTACGCCGTGCTGCCTCTACCCTCCCTAGTCGCTCGCTTTATTCGCCTACGTCCTTTTAATTCAATAGCTACCCTTTTTTATATAACGTGTCGTCCGTCCTGCAAAAACGGAAGTCGCGTTTCCAACGGCGACATAAAAAGGAGGATAGATAATAGGATGTTATAGTTAACGTTCGATATTATTCTCAGATTAGTCTCTCGATACAAGCATTGAATTAGAAAAATTTTAATAATTCATCTGTAATCCATTTAAATATTTCGATAAGATTTTTCTTTTTTTTCCTTTTTTTCTTTTTTTTCTTTTTTTTTTTCCTTCACTACATGACATTCTAATTTTTCTACAATGTATTTTTTAAGGAAATCTATTTGTTGTGGTTGTTCTTTTTTCTTTTTTTTTTTTTTTCTCTTTCTTTTTATAAAGGAAACTAAGAACTCCTATGAGTTAAAAAGTATTAAAAATATTACCTATTTACCTACCTACGTACCTACCTACATACATACATAAATACATACATATACGTATATACGTACATACGTTTGTATAATATGTATATTTATATAGGTGTTTGATCGACGCACGAACACATCGTTATCAATTAGGCAACCGGTTGCTCTTTTAATATTCCTCGTGTGCATTCGCGTTTCCCCTAATAATAACACGTGGATGGAATCGCCGTCGTGCTCGTACGATCGGAAACGGGTACAGCGTATGCAAATATATCGCTAATCCGATTAAGTATAATTAATGTCGCGAGCGTACAGTCAGGGGTGTACGATCCGAGAAATTTTCGACTCCTCTCCCTCTCTCTCTCTCTCTCTCTCTCTCATTCTCGTTTTCATCCTCGTTCTCTTTCTCTCTCTATCTATCTATCTCTCTTTGTCGACGGTGGTTACATCGAACGCGAACGTCAACGACAAACGCTCGCTTCGTGGCGGTCTCGATGGTTTCCAGCTCGTATTTCCAAAAAATTCTATGGAATCTCTCGTTTAATGAAACAGATACCTACCTATAACCGGGGAATGCAACGCGGGAACGCGAACCAACAGTAGAATCCTCCGACGTGCTTCAAACGTGCATGGATATTTCACAAAACGTACACCATCACCATTCAACTATCCAAATATCTATATATCTAGGTAACTCTAACCCTATCTATGTAAGTACAAAAATTATTAATCGATTTTTAATTCTATTTAAATCATTCTTAGTCACTTCTCATTTAAAACGCATTGTTAATTTTTCTCTCAATTCTTACGACATTTCTGATAAATAATATTTTTCTATTCGTACGATCAAAAAGAGAGAGAGAGAGAGAAAGGGAGACAGGGAGACAGGGAGAGAGAGAGAGAAAGTCACAGATAGATAGATAGATAGATAGATAGATAGATAGAGATAGAGAGAAAGAGAGAGAGAGAAAATATGTTTTAACTGATGAAACGATATTTCTCGGTAACCTCCGTCCTACTCTTTTCGAAAATAATGTATCATCCACTGGTAACGTATTGTATGTGTGTGAGTGACTGTGTATGTGTGTGTATGTATGTGTGTGTATGTGAGTATGTATTCTACGTTAAATCTATATACGTGTGGCCTGGATGCGATCGATTTTAAACAGACAGAGGACGTACAACGCCAGCAAATTGACAATGTGTCGAATGCACGCGACCGATGCGATGCCTCCCGGCTAAAACACTATCCTATCCGTTGACAAGACCAAAGTTAGTTCTAGATCAAATTTTATACGTTTAAAAAAGGATACGTATTTACATATACATTTATAAGATATTCTCGTGTTATCTAATTATTTTTGTCATTTTTAAAAATTTTTTCTTTTTTTTTTTTCTTTTTCTTCTTTGTTCCTTTTCATTTCTTCTTATATCTTCTTATTATCTTTTCTCTCTTTTTTCTTTCCCTTTAAATTTCTCAATATACAATAAATATATATATATATATATAATTGACATCCTTGTACGTTATCATTATTCACTAATAAAGTACAATTACAAAGCTTCTTTGATAACAGATCGAATATATGAAACTATTCAGATATCATCTATAGAAAGATTTATTCGTCCATCTTTTCTCGTAATAATTATCATCGTGACGTCATTCGTCAGAAATTCCGTCTCATAGTTAAAATCGTACCATAACGTTTCTTCGTAGACAAGAAGGGAGATTAAGATATTGAAAGAAAAAAACAAAAAAAAAATTGAAAGTGAAAGGAGAAAAGGGTGAGGATGGGGGAGGCGGGCGGGGGGAAGGGGAGGCGGAAAAGTAGAAGAAAAAGAACGATCGGAAATATAAAAATATCATTTACTATATCTATCACTTATGTCCTATCTTTTTTCTCTCGCGCTAAAGTTTTTTAATGAACGAGACACTTATACGAGTATCTACCTATCTACCTGCCTGCCTACCTACCTACCTACCTACCTACCTACCTATTCTACCTATCTACTACTTTTAAGCTGACATTATTCGAACTCGAACGTAACGTGCATTGGTAACAGGCGACACAGGTAGACAGGAATTTCTGATATTACATACCAGAAACAGGAATGCCCACATAACAATTCCCCGGGAGTGTACGAGCTCCTCTCTCTCTCTCTCTCTCTCTCTCTTCCTCTCTCTCTCTCTTCCTCTCTCTCTCTCTCTCACTCTCTCTTATATACACTCACTCGTTCGCTCGCTCGGTACTCCCTGTCTCTCATTCGCCTTCCACGTTTTCCTCCCAACTACTATTCTCCTCTCCTCTTCTCTCCTCTTCACTCCTCTGCTTTCCTCTTCTCTCCTCTTCTCTCCACTTCTCTTCTCTTCTATCTGCCTTTGTATCTTCTCGTATCTATCCGTCTCTCTTATCCTCTTTGCTTTTGCTTCGTTTCGTTGTTCTCCTCCTGTTCCCGAAAATCCTGCGTTACCAGGACTTACGAAAATACATACGTATGTATGTATGTGTGTATGTATGTATGTATGTATGTACGTATGTATCTACCAACCTGTATATCCATCTATATAATAGAGAGAGAGAGAGAGAGAGAGAGAGAGAGAGAGAGAGAGAGAGAGAGAGAGAGATTGGAGTAATATCTCAATAACAATTCTTGTTTTTTTTTCTGTTTTGTTTTCTTTCTTTTTTTTTCTTTTTTTTTTTCATTGCTTTTTTTCATTTTCAATCATTCCTTTTTTCAAGGCTCTTTTAAATCCGAACTTCGTTCTCTTTTTTTTTCCCTCTACCTCTCTCCCTTTCTCCCTCTCTCTCTCTCTCTCTTTCTCTCTCTCTCTCTCTCTTTTTTTCTTTCTTTTTTTCTTTTTACCTTTTTCATCTGAAAAAATATTTCGATTATTCCAGATAATATTACTACCTGTGAATAATGTTTGTTTGTTTGTTTGTTTGTTTGTTTGTTCGTCGAAAAATAAAGACGTAAGGGAATTGTTGCTTTATTTTTTTTTTC